GAAGTTTGATTGTACTACTACCTCCTGTTGTTAAGCAACTAGAAACCAACACCCCTAAAAGGACTTATAAATTAGCCACACCCCATTAACTTAAGGCCCAAACAAGTGTTAGAATAAAAGGCAATGATATAAAAAACCAAAAAATGAGTATACTTCCCTAAAGGAAAGAACTCCTAATATATCAAAATGCCACAACTAATAGGATGTTACCACCTATTTATAAGCATAAGGCAGAGTTGATCGACAACAACTTATAAGAGAATAAATAATTATTCCATTTTAGACTAAAAAACACTAGTAAGTTAAAATAATATCCTTCATCAATTTTTGCTTGTCAAGCTGATTATGTTTAAAGATGCATGCATTTCTCAAATTCCATATGCTTTAAGAAATTACACACCATACCACCTTCCATCTTAGAGACTTTTCTTTTGATTCAAGGACACTGAATATGTAATTAGTAAAGTTATTGATGTATTAATCCAATCATAACACTCTTTCGAAACATTGTCCACTTCCTTGCATGTAAAAAGGATATGGGAAATTATTCCTCATTGGCAATGACAGAATGGACATGAACTATCTTCCAAAACCACACTCCTTTTGGCTAAATTATCCGAGGTTGGTAAAAAAATTATGAAAGACCTTACATAAAATGATTGCAACCTTCAGAGGGACATTAATGTTCCAAATATGTGAGAATTTCTCTACTTGTAGGCAACCACTCAAGTTTCTTTGTATCTCTTTATATGCATAGATGATTGAAAAAGCCCCAAAGAGACTAGGACACCAACACCAACTATCTTGTTGCCCCTATTGCAAAGATATGGTTGAAAGGAGTTGTTGTACAAATGAACATTGGTCTCTCTCCCAATTGAACTAGTATTTGCGTCGTTTGAGATCCCATTCTCACTGTTGTCCCACCTATCTGCCCATGTATTTAATTCTCTCATTCTATTGTTCGAAATTTAGAAATGCCCTAGGTAGGGTTATTGCAGGATATTCTTCCTTAAACCACTTGTCTAACCAAAATTTTATTTGATCCCCTTGACCTAGCACTAGTGGAAAAAAAGCTTTTAAAATCGGTTATTTTAGACTTTTAAAATCGGTTATGGAACCGATCTTAAAATAGCCGATTTTGAAAAGGTAGACTTTTAAGATCGGTTATCAACCGATTTTAAAAGTAGACTTTTAAGATCGGTTGATTTATAACCGATCTTAAAAGTATACTTTTAAAATCGGTTGCTGTTTTAACCGATCTTAAAAGTCAATACTTTTAAGATCGGTTGTTGCATAACCGATTTTAAAAGTCTGCTTTTAAAATCGGTTACGGCGTAACCGATCTTAAAAGTAGTGATTTTTTTTTTGTATGTTTAACTTGTTTTGGGAGCACCTCAGAACAAAAAACCTACAGAAAAGCCAGATAGTTCAAAATATTTTCTCAATGAAGCACAAATCGCATACAAATGACAAGATGATAAATGTTAATCATATATTTTAAAACCCCGATCTTAAAAGCTATTTTTGCACTAGTGTTTCCAATTCACCAATTTATCAAACCATTGCATCTGATTATCACTCTCGCATACCTTTTTAAGTTCTCTCTACCATATAGAAGAATATTTATTGATAGCTTCACCACTAAGGTTATGCCAACCCTTATACTTAGAGTCCAACACTTTCTTCCATAAACTTTCCTTCTATTAAAAGAGATTCCATCACCAATTTGCTAAGAAAGCTTCATTGAAAGCCATAATATCCTTAATTCCCAAACCACCATAATTTTTAGGCCTACATATCATTTCCCAACTTACCCAAGAAATCTTTTGTTTTTCCCCCTCACATCCTTACAAAAACCTTATTTTGAATAGTCATGATCTTCCACACCACTTATTTTGGAATTTTAAAAAGATAGTAAAAATTAACGATGTTAACATCGAATTGATAAGACAAACTCTACCAGCCATAGACAAAAGCTTATGCTTCTAAAACGACAATTTCTTCCTAATTTTCCATATTATTGATTCCCAAGTCACTCCTTTTCTAAGATTGGTGCCAATCCAAACTTCGAGGCACGTGAAAGGAAGAGAGAGTAATTTACAGTTCAATAGATGTGCATAGCTCTCTAAGATGTGGGGTTCCATCCTTATCGCTCCAAACCTACCTTTTAGAAAATTAACCTTTAAATTGGATGCCACCTAAAAACACCTCATAATGCTTTTATTAACAATGACATTCTTAAGATGGGTTGCACCAAAAAAGATTGTATCATTTGCATACTGTAGTATGTTGATTTCCTCTTTTTTATTTCCCATTAAAAAGCCTTCAAAAAAATTTCTTTGAAGTTGTATACCTCATGAAACCTATTAGGCCTTTTACTACCACATTAAATAGGAAGGGCTTCAGTAAGTCATCTTGCCTTAATCCTTTTTGTAGCCTAAAATCTTATATAGAGTTGGTGTTGATAAGTATGGAAATATAACTTGTTTCCAAACATGCTAAAATCCACTCTAACCATTTATTGTAAAATCCCAATCTGCTTAACATATAGAGTAGGACATTCTAGCTTACCTAGTCATAAGCTTTTCAAAGTCTACTTTGAAGACTAAACAACTCTTCCTTTCCTTCTTGCCTCGTCAAGAGCCTTATTAGAAACTATCACACTATGTAAAAGGTTTCTTTGTTTGAGTATTGAATGATCATCTGGTGCATACTTGTGTTCCATCTATTCTTCTCTTGACGCTCGGTTTCCTAGCTTTATCTGCCTCGACTTCTCTAGTCGTGTCTTGCCTTGATTATTCCATATAAGCTTCATCTGATACCTCGGTGCCTTACTTTGATAATAGTAGTCTTCGTTCTTATGCTTGATTTCTCATCATCTGAGTCTTTCATCTTATTTGTACAATCTCCATGAGTTGTGACATTTAATGCTTATGACTTAGCATTAAATGTTTGCTTGCTGAATCTGCACTTCTTGAAGTCTATTGTACTTTCTTAGTACTGTTGCTCCAAAGGTGTTGTCTTTTCCTGGCTGATAGTTGTACTTTCTCTGACACACGCTGCTTTGATCTGTGAATAAACGCCCGTCCATTTGTCTTTTCTTTCTCCTTACACTTTCATGACTTCATATATTCTTCTAAGAGTGTGGATGCTAGGTGGTTTGTTGTATTGTGTTCTTCAGACACAGTCCAGCATTCTTGATCTTTGTCTGTGTGTTTGAGTCTCCTTCTGGTCGGCTGCATAAGCTTTTTGACTCCGTCTAGGATGTTTTGTGCTCGTCCATGATCTGATGTCTTGTTAGCTTTTGTCCTTCGTGTCGGTGTCTTCGTCTGATGTATTCCCTTCGTTTGCCCAACCTTTATCCAATGCTTGACTCATATCTCATGATTCTGGTATGGATGTATATTCTTTATTCAGCAGTTTACCTGTACTTATATCTGAAACACTAACACTTGTTAGTAATAACAATATGTATTATATTTGTCTCATTCAAAACCTTGCTGGGAATTGCTTCCGTCTTCGTCTGACTTAACACTTCTTTGGTACATGCTCTTCAAAATGGAATGAAGACATGCTTTACATTAGATAAAGGACAAACAAATTGCTTGAAGCATGCGAAATCTCATAAAAAAAAGTCATTCATAATTGACACATGCAACGATTCCTTCCATTTAGTACCAAAAATGTGATAAGTAACTTTCTTGATTAAGGATTTGCAATAGTCATCTTTATTAAACATTTATTTAAAGAAGCTTGAAAACTAAAAATAATATATAAAAAAACAGTCTTTCTAAAGCCCATTCACTCTTTCTGTAAAGATCTTTATACTTAAATTAGTTATATCATGTCTTGATAGTACAACGAAACAACAAGTGATTTCATAACTTTAACTTTGTGTTATTTTTGAAGCCTGAAAAGACTTTGTTGTAAAGAATACTTGGTTATTGAAGCTTGTAGAAACTTTGTTGTGAAAGAATACTTAATTTTTGAAGCATAAAGAGGCTTCATTTAAAAAAAAACTTGGATAATTGCTTAAAGAGGCAAGTCAAAGAATATTTAGATTGAGTCAGAAGTGACTTGTGAAAGAATATTTATATCTTTGTAAAGGATAGTAGAACTTGATCAAGTTGATAAAAAAATTGAACATAATCTCGGTGCTTGAAATGAACTAGTATAAAAATAATGTATTCTTTTCTCTTGACTTTTCGTTTGCACTTGTAATAAGGTTTTTGATACTACTTCACTGTTTCAAAAAAGTGGAATTTTTTAATTTATACTATTTAACTCTCACTTATAGTGTCTCTCTTTTCTCCACAATAAAAGTTAAATGTAGCTCATTATATATTGATATATGATGATTTAAGTTGTTTAAGGTGTAAGTTGCCTATTATTATAACTTGTCTATTATTATAAGTTGCTTAAGTTGTATGATGGGTTAAATTGTTAAAGTTGAAAATTGTTTATAATCTTAAGTTGCTTAAGTTAAAAGTTGCTACTGTTAAAATTATATAAATATGTGGTGATAAGATATATGTTTATGTTGAAATATATAAAAATTAGAAGAGAGTAAAATCATTTTAGAAATTAAATTATTTCATTGCATAGATATAATTTATTTAAGTAGAGTCATAAGAAGTTTTTGGATTATGTATTCAGGAGCTAGTGATCACATTTATTCTTCACTATGTTGGTTCCATACGTATAATGAAAGTTAGCCTTTTATAGTCAGTTTACCGAATGGAAATTCAACCTTTTCCAAGCACTTTGGAACTGTTATATATGTTCTCACATGGTTTTTGTCTAACAAATGTTCTTTACATTCCTGAATTCTCATTCAACTTAATCTCATTCAAATTTCAAAAATGAGCAGGGGAAGAAATCATATGCATAGACACAACTTAATCATACGAAAGACCCGAAAAAGCAAACTGGGATTAAAAGTCAAATATCTCATCCGAAAAATGCAGACAAACAATCACAGCATTTGCCCCACAATAATGAAAAAAAAAAAAAAAAACCTGGCAATTTAGCCACACACATGCAGCTGAAACTGAAATAGAATTATAGAAGGATAAATGAAAGCTGTAATTAACTATGTGCTATCTAATGATTTGGGAGAGCCACTGCAGACATGACAATGAGCAAAACTAAGAGAACAACGGCAACAAACGATGCGACGACTGCTCCACTAATCTGCTGGCAGAAATCACCGAATTGGTTGCAGATGGCAAGCCAATTTGCGTCTTGATTGCCATTGTGTGCCATGTATACTATGGCAGCTGCTGCAGCACCACTTGAAGTCGCTAGGGTCATGAATACCTGTTAATAGTGTTATTTTAACTCCATACATTTCCATTAAACACAAATATATCTTATGCAAAATATTTTTAAGAAATTTTGTTTAGTAAGAAATTTTTTATAAATTTTTAATTTATTATTTAATTTAATTTTTATTTATCATAATTGTTTATAAATTAAAATATTAATATTTTAAAATAAATTATCAATAAATAAAAATAATTTTTTGTTATGATTCAAATTATTTAGTGAATAATATTTCATTTGTGTTTTTTTTAGGAAAGAAATTTGGTAATTTTATTCTAATTCTTAATATTGTAAATGTAATCATTTATAAAATTTATTTTAATATGAACTTTATAAAAACCATCTTTTACCCTTTTTTTCAGTTTCTTTTTTATTAAAAAAAAACTTAATAACATCTTATAAAATTAAAGACGACCAAGATAAAGCGCATGCACTAATGTTAACCTATTGATAGAAGATATGAGGCATAAGTATAAGGTAATAAATTCTAATCAGTGTACGGATTTTATAAAAGAAAATTATTTTGATAATTTTTTTTTGCAAAATATGTATATATTAAAATAATATAAATAAATTTAGTAGAAGTATCCAAATCTAGAGGTGCAGATAAACTTTTCAAATTGCTCCCTCATTCAATTTGACTGGCTTATTTAGTTATGTAAAAATTATGTTCTGATAAATTTCTTAATATCTATTTATAGAAAAAAAATGAAATAAACTTTTTATATAAATTAAAATTAACTTGGGAATATGTTAATTTATACAAGTTATTCACTTTCTCCAGTAAGTTAATTTTGCATAAATTAACACACATGAGAGACAAAAATTAATTTATTTTTACCATCTTAATTATTTTCTTCTTTTATAAATATTTGTTAAAAGTTTAGCTAAACTGAATCAAAATTATCTTACTCCGAATACATATATAATTTTCCTTTGGCTCTAATTTTGTATCCCATATGTATATAGCTAGCTAGTCTTTTGGGTCAAAAGAAAAAGGATGTTAAAGAGAGCTTACAGTGTCTAGTATAATGAGGAAAAGTCTTGGTCCTGCTGCATGGGGACGTATAATAGTGACTATAGAAAAAGGTAGAGATAAGACAAGGTAGCCACCAACAAATGCCATAGCAATGACAAAAAACCTGCATCGATCGTTTTATGTTAATAACGTGAATGCTTTGAAAATCAATGAAAGAAATTTTTTTTTTCCTGATACATCAAAATGGACACTCCCAAAACTGTCAATAAAAATTTAATAACATGCTAAAAAAATATCATATGAAACATTTATGATTCAAATTATTTAGTGAATAATATTTCATTTGTGTTTTTTTTAGGAAAGAAATTTGGTAATTTTATTCTAATTCTTAATATTGTAAATGTAATCATTTATAAAATTTATTTTAATATGAACTTTATAAAAACCATCTTTTACCCTTTTTTTCAGTTTCTTTTTTATTAAAAAAAAACTTAATAACATCTTATAAAATTAAAGACGACCAAGATAAAGCGCATGCACTAATGTTAACCTATTGATAGAAGATATGAGGCATAAGTATAAGGTAATAAATTCTAATCAGTGTACGGATTTTATAAAAGAAAATTATTTTGATAATTTTTTTTTGCAAAATATGTATATATTAAAATAATATAAATAAATTTAGTAGAAGTATCCAAATCTAGAGGTGCAGATAAACTTTTCAAATTGCTCCCTCATTCAATTTGACTGGCTTATTTAGTTATGTAAAAATTATGTTCTGATAAATTTCTTAATATCTATTTATAGAAAAAAAATGAAATAAACTTTTTATATAAATTAAAATTAACTTGGGAATATGTTAATTTATACAAGTTATTCACTTTCTCCAGTAAGTTAATTTTGCATAAATTAACACACATGAGAGACAAAAATTAATTTATTTTTACCATCTTAATTATTTTCTTCTTTTATAAATATTTGTTAAAAGTTTAGCTAAACTGAATCAAAATTATCTTACTCCGAATACATATATAATTTTCCTTTGGCTCTAATTTTGTATCCCATATGTATATAGCTAGCTAGTCTTTTGGGTCAAAAGAAAAAGGATGTTAAAGAGAGCTTACAGTGTCTAGTATAATGAGGAAAAGTCTTGGTCCTGCTGCATGGGGACGTATAATAGTGACTATAGAAAAAGGTAGAGATAAGACAAGGTAGCCACCAACAAATGCCATAGCAATGACAAAAAACCTGCATCGATCGTTTTATGTTAATAACGTGAATGCTTTGAAAATCAATGAAAGAAATTTTTTTTTTCCTGATACATCAAAATGGACACTCCCAAAACTGTCAATAAAAATTTAATAACATGCTAAAAAAATATCATATGAAACATAATTGTTTATTTAATGATTAGTTAAAATTCAATAATATATATTTAATTAGATAAAGTTATTAATGATCCTTTAGAAAAATTTTATCTTTAATGTTAAGAGATTTTTTTAAGTAAGTATGTCTATCCATTGACAGAACCACATATAATATAGTAGGATGTACTTGCCCCACTATCATTTAATACATATATATTCTTTTATTAAAAAATAATATATTTAAAAATATATATATATATATATATATTTAAATTATCATATGTATAAAATATAAATTTGAAAAAAATATTTATTTATTTGATATTTTTGAAGTTTAAGTAAAATACACACACACACACATATATATATTAATGCTCATATATATAATGTAATATATAAAAAAAAAAATTAATTTTTGATAAAATAAAATTTGTAGCATGTATGTTTATCTTTTGTGTTTTTTATTTATTATATACGTTAATTAAAAAATCAAAATAAAAAATATTGGAAGATTTATGTTTTATTTAGAATTTTTAGTATAAAATATATTTTAAAATAAGTTATCATCTAAAAATTTATATTAGATATTTAAAAACACGTTTATATCATAAATAAATTAAACTTGATTTTTTATAAAATTTAACATATTTATTTTTATATTTTTATTAGTGTTAAATTATTATAAAGTAAGTTTTTGAAATTGCATTTCTAACCAATCATTTAAAAAATGTCTATGATAGATAAATAAGTTAAACTTAGGATAAGAATTTTTATAAAAAAAATCAAGTTCAAACTTATTAAATTATAATATAATCTAGTTTGACCTAATTTATTTTTATCTTTAATTGTAATCATAAATATAAGAGCTTGTAAAAAATAGTTAATATATATTTATATTTTTAAAAGTTATATATAAAATTTTTAATATTATAAATATATAAATAAATATTGTCTCCACTATCTAGAGTATCTGGACTCGTCACTGTGTTTATCAAAGTAAAATTTTAATTATTTGAGAAATTATATATGTGACTTACTGGAAAGTAGAAAAACTATCATAGCTGGCCTCAAACTGAAAGAACTGAGTGAAGAAAGGGAGTGTCTCATCGCTTGTTGCCATGGTGGCAGCAGCACCAAGAGCAGAAGCAATGGCACCTAGCCTGAGAATAAAGTCCATTATAGCTATCCCTTTCTTCCATCCTCCTCGCCTTGCGGGGGCACTTGGAACTGTTCCCTTGGTAATTAATCTGCTTGATTCTGGGACATCAATGATGCTCGACATTTTTGGCTTTCAAAGTGAGATAGGATTGGTAATAGTTTAAGTGGTGCTCTCTATATATGAAGAGTACGTACAAGATAATATGATGATATATATATATAGAGGGAAACTTTGTGATGCAATAGCTTTGATGCTAGATGAAGCTTATATACACAGAAGGATGGAATTGAAGTCAAAGATAAAATGAGTTTAGTGGAAGCAATTAAGGGGAGTCGTTATCACTAATTTAACTCACTTTATGATTGTAAGGTGGTTACGTAAGGGAGGTGTTAGAGCCAGAAAAATGTGGTCAAACAGAATAATACATGGTACTACTTAATCAACTTTCTTTAACTTTTTTGAGCTTACTTTTTGGTTATATATATGATGTTAATGGAAATGGTTGTCACGTGGTTTGACTGATCTCTTTCCTTAAATATACAATTTTCATGACATCGTCGAAGGGTGCATGTTGTATTTAATCAATCGATCGACTTATATATTTTATTTTCTCTTGCGATTTTAATCTGGTGTATATGCGATAATAATGGTAATAGTTGTCATTAGGTTCTACAGTACAGAGGCAGTTTGAGGAGGGATATTTTATCTTGTATATGGGTTGGAGCACTCTTAGTGTTCTGATTTTTTAATATATATAATTTTTGCGTATAAAAAAATTGCATATATATATATATATATATATATATATAT